GGAGAAGCGGCTGCGGCACTGGTGGCACTGGAAGGGCTTCTCGAGTGCAGCCGCAGGTGGGTCTTCAGGTTGCTGCTGCTGCTGAAGCACTTGTGGCACGTCTGCGGGGCCGAGAGGATGGGGGGCTCGGGATGGGTGCTGCACCCTGGTTTGGGACCCCCCACCACCACCCTCCCGGCACCCAGCGGGCACCTACCGGGCACTGGTGGGGCTTCTCGCCGGTGTGCACCAGCTGGTGCTTCTGCAGGTGTGCCAGCTGCGTGAAGCGCTTCTTGCAGATGGGGCACTGGAAAGGCCGCTCACCGCTGTGCACCCTCAGGTGGACCTGCCCGGGGGGGCCACGAGCTACAGAGGGGCACCCGGGGAACCCAGGAGTCCGGGCTGCCCATCCTCCCCACTTCCCGGGAGCATTCCGCAACCCCCGGGGATGGTGCAGAACATGGCTGGAGCACAGGGGGGTATATCTGCAGCCAATCTCGGAGCACTTCACGCCGATGGGCGCTTTTCTGGGGGGAAACTGAGGCACGGGGAAAGGCCCGCAACCTGCCCGCACAGCTGGGACGAGCCCCCGCTGCCCCTTGTCCCCAGCATGGGCTGACCCTAAGGATGCAGGAGGGGTGTGACTGCCAGGCTCGGGGCGGGGGGAGAGCGGACGCCGGGGCACCCCGGGTACCTTGAGGTTGGAGAGCTGCCCGAAGCTCTTGGCGCAGAGGTTGCACTCGTACTTGCTCCTGCCAATGTCCTTCCCCAGCAGGTACGGCCCGGTGCTGGCAGGCGGCTTGTCCACGCCACGGCTGGGCACCTCCAGCTGCAGGGCAGAGCGGGGCATCCCCCCCTGCGGCGGCGGGCACCCCCCTGCCCCGCAGCCAGGGAAGGGGAAAGGCCCTTGGGAAAGATGGAGAAATCCCACCGGTGGCTTCAGCAGCCCGGGAGCGCCCTGCCCGTGGGGCAGGAGGGTCCCGCACGGCTGCAAGCAGGGTGGCAGCTGGAGGAGGGCACCGCCACAGCCCTGTGAAGGTGACACCGGGGTCCCCGTGTCACCCAGGTGGGCGAGGGGCAGCACGGGCTGTGGGGCCAGCAGGAGCGGGGGGCAGAGGGTGCCACAGAAGCAAAGGCACGGCTGGGGCAGGAGGAGGGGACACAGGCTGCCCAGGCAGACCCTCAGCTCCCTGGGCAACGGGGGG